AAAATCATAGATTTTACTGTCTTGTTTAAGTGTTGTCATTTATTCAATATTTTGGTGAATCTACGGTTTGAGAACTGAGTTTCCTTACAAAACAAAATGGTTTATTTTTCAGGGGTGCTGAGTTCAAATTTAGGGGTGCTCACCCCCAAAAGGAGGCTAAAATCATCACTGGAATGAGCTTCTACACCACATTAATTCAAGATGGCCACGGCAGCATCGATCTTAGAAAAAAAAATGGTGTTAATGATAGCCATATGCTATATTACAGATACTGAGGTAGTAGCTGAGAGTCATCTCCAACTCACACAGATCACCAAAGATCTCACAAAGATTTGACCAGATGGCTAAAACTCCCCAACATCAGATGATTTTTATTACATTTTCTGGCATGAAACAAAGTTTTTAACGTATATCTGTCACAGTTTTTTGTTCTCTTCTTTAAGGATTTTACTTTGAAATCCCTTTTACATCCAACAGTTAAACTCTCTCCTGCAGACAGATGTTTCAGTGGAGAACCGGTTATAAGATCCACCTTCTGGCCGCATGGGGGCGCCGCTGAGCCGCAGCTCCCGGGCTGACTCCAACCAGCAGAACCAACCGGGTGGGGGGCTCTGAGCTCACATGCTCCCTGTGCGGGCTGTGGATGGAGCTGAGCGCACAACTTCTCTCCAGTCCTCCCGACGCTGCACCTGCTGCCGGACTTCCCTCCAGGATCTGGGTCCTGTAACGAACCGAGCTCTGGACTTTACCACTTTCTAAAGGTGCCAGCATGCGCTCAGCAGTTCTGCTCCTGGTGCTGGCCGTCAGGATGTGCGCGGACAGCACGGAACGACCAACAGGTAAGAGATGAAGTTGTGCGTCAGGGCGCGGAGAGCTCCTCTGCTCCACAGCAAGAGTCCGAGCCGAGTTCTGGCTGAGAGGAGCCTGAGCCTGGTGGGTCTGTGCCAGGGGCGCGCCGAGACTTTCTGAGGACCCCGGGTTCAGAGCCGAAAAGTTGAAAAAGGAAACAAAGTGGGATGAAACTACATTAGTCTTTCTGTGTGTGTGTGCAGGCTGGATGGATGAACTGATCGGCTGCTTCAGACGGGATGAATTAATAATTTGATTGTGCACTGACAGCTGAAGGAAACATTGTGTCTGTGTCGTTCCTCTGGAGCTTTGTGGTTTTAGTGCATTTTAATATTAACTGTTAAAAATCAACAACTTTCAGATTGGCGTACAGAATATACATTTAAAAACCCCGATTTCTGCACGACAAAATAAATACATGAAGCTTTTAGTTGTGTGCAGAAAAATAAAAGGTCTGAATGTTCAGCATGTTGTATATTAGTAGTGAGCTGCAGCAAACTGGAGGTATATTTCTGCTTCTTCTTCTTTCTTGGTTTTACCAAGAGGAGAGAAACAAACAACGATTTAGAAAGGAGACTGAAACTCTCACAAACATTCTTTTAACTTTTAACATCATGTGTGAATTGTATGAATTAGATGAATCACAAACTAACTTCACGCATAAAGGCGTTTTTAATATATATTTTGTTTTATTTAGCTATTTACTGTTCCTCCATTGAGGGATAACAGAGTGGCTCCGGTCTGTCATGGTGAACAAGGAGCTGAAGGTTGAAGCTCTTGATTTGGTCCGTCTATGTTCCCTCCCTGACCTGTGCTCAGGAGGTTTGGATCATGACAGA